AAAGAGCAAGAAAACAGGGTATAGCCAATCCAAACATACATGTCCTTACTTAGTAAACGTAATGCTGAAGTAGCAGTGGTGTGGTGATCAGGAGGGGGTTTAGAGATGAATTCCCATGAGTAAGGTGATTCCTAGGAAACTGAAATTTACTGCAATTTCCCCTCCTTAACCCTTTCCCCTTGTCCCAGAGACAAGAGAAGGCAGGAAGCTAAGGGCAAGCAGTTCAGGTTGGGGGCAGGACTTATTCTTTCTGTTATGTGCTTAAAAACAGGGTCTGAGCCGGGGAGGGTTTTGAAAGAAACTATCAAGAAATATTAACAAGAACTATTGATCCCCTAAGGAGGTTTCACTTTTTAGAGATCATCTCTCACAAAAGCTTTATCCATTTTAATGTTTTTTTTTTCATAAAATCAGCTCTTAGTTTTATTTATTAGTTCAATGATTTTCTTAATTTCAATTTTCTTAATTTCTCCTTTGGTTTTCAATATTTCTAATTTGGTGTTTAATTGAGGATTTTTAATTTGTTCTTTTTCTAGTTTTTTTTTCAGTTGTATGACCAATTCATTGCTGTCCTCTTCTTCTATTTTATTCATGTAAGCATTTAGAGATATAAAACTTCCCCTAAGAACTGCTTTCACTGCATCCTATAAGTTTTGGTATGTTGTCTCATTATTGTCATTCTTTTGAATGAAATTATTGATTGTTTCTATGATTTTTTGTTTGACCCCCCCTCATTCTTTAGGATTAGATTATTTATTTTCCAATTATTTTTTAGTCTGTCTTTCCATGGCCATTTATTACATATAATTTTTGATGAATCATGATCTTGTGTGGGATGCCACTCAAATTAAAAATAAAACAAAACACAGAGGTGTCCAAGAAGAAACAGAAAGTAGTTTATTATAGCTATTATTATTATTATTATTATTATTATTATTATTTCAAATCTCGAGATTTGGGTGTCCTCACACCAATGGCTCTGATGAGAGGAGACAACCCACAGAGGAAGAAGTCAGTTTATATAACCCTGAAGGTTCAATTCCCCCTCCCTCACAGCTGTCTGTTAACTCGGCTCACAATCTCACATGCCAGACTCTAACATAGGACAAAGGACATAGTATACATCTCTATATTTCTTGGTTAGTTGAGATAATGTCAAAGAAACAATTTAAAAAATGTGCAGTTAGGAAGATAATTTACAATTGTTTTGGAAGATCTCAGGGATTGAACAGATAATGCTGGGAACAGAAAGACATCTGCATAAGACCCTGTCAAAGAGAGATAAGGGGACTTGAACATTTAAGGGTTTTCTGGGGCTTGGGGCAAAAGGTGCATCTGGATAAGATCAGAAGGCAGGCCAGGGCTTAACAACTAGACAAATTTTAACTACTGATATATGGCACTAAAAAAAATGATAACTTACAGAAATCTATTCTTTAACCCTATCCTACCTTCTGAACTCATTACCTTAATTACACTGAGAAGTCTTCACTAGGACATCCCATTCAATCTAAAGGATGCATTTAATATTTCTGCCTTTCCGCATTGGATTGTGAGGTTTTATGCCCTAGTAGATGCTCAATTTTTATGTATGTGCCATGTACCACCGTGAAAAAGTATATTCTTTTCTGTCCTCATTCAATTTTCTCCAGAGGTCTATCATACCTAACTTTTGTAATATTCTATTCACCTCCCTAATTTTTCACGGGATGGCCTGGGGTCCGGTGTAAGTTTTCCCAGGGGATAGTTGTATTTTCTTTTGCTATTTACGTTGGCTCAAGGTAGTTCACATTTTTCTGAGGAATCATAGGTCATGTTCCCACTCTGATTACTGTCATATATCACTCTGCCTATATTACAGAGGATATTTTCACCATGCATTATAAAACTGCTCAGACAGCCTTATGAGATTTAATGCATTGTTACAAGTGTAAAATGATATTTGATTCTTTTATGTTATTTTTATTTTGTTTTTTCCTCATGACATTATCAGGGCCAACATCCACACTGACAGCCTGATGACATCTTTGAAACATGCTCAATCAGCCACTGGCTCTGTTGATATACAAGAAAGTTAAAGAACATTGTCTTACCTCTATGCAACTAAGTGATCATTAGAAAGAGGAGTTTTTATTGTGCAGAGAAATATGTTCACTGCATTTCTTTCTTCTCCATTGACTTCTGTTTTTAAGTTATGTTCTACTTTTTACATCCCAATATTAATGATGATATCCAAATTGAAAGGGCCAAGAAAGTCTTTAGTTCACTCTCAGACTGTATCAACATATATAAAATGGAGAGATTGTCAGGGCAGTTATTGAGGTCATTCAGATTAAAATATTTTTATCTAGCTGGTTCAGATTCAAATGGAGTTCTCTATTGCCATAGTGTAATCACAATTGTCAGATAATACAGATTAACTGAAGGGAGATAAATTGAAGGCCACTCAAAGGCCAAATTAAACAAGCCGATACAGTTTCTCCAGCACATTTAAATGTTAACAGTCTTAGAATTCCAGATCTGTGTCTTGATTCGTATTTTCTCTTTTTTGGACACCCTCATGCTACCCCTCACTTTGCTGATTTTGTCCTTATCTACTTAAAGGACTGGATACTGATTATTCTGCTATTCAGTCTTTTCCCAAAAGCCATTCTTCCCCTATTCATATACAGATTTGACTCCCTTAAAGTTGGAAGGGGCATTCTTTCAGTAGGTCTTTGATGAGGCAACTGGTGAGCCTTGGGGATACAAAATATTCCATCTCGGTAAAGGTAGAACACAACACATTCTTCTCATTTTGTCCTTGTTTTTAAGTGGAGGGGAGATCTCTTTCAGTTCCCCAAATTTAATCCCTCTAGGCTTCTTCAAAGGTAAACTGATTTTTGAGGAGATCCCCTCATAGAACTAAGGCCTAGGTTGGTTGGTTGTTGTCCTTCATGTTTGAAGGGGACCAAAACGACACCACTATGTTGGGGTCAAGGTAGAGCATGTCCAACTGTGACTGCTCAGCCCAATGTGAGCTCAGAAAGCTCTATCACAGGTTGGGCACAAATAGTCCATATTAACATTTGGGGTGGAGATTGCTCTAAATGTTCACATCTCATGTATCTTTCAAGCTACTGCAAATCTGCTTTGCTCATAGAGCACAGGGGCAACACAGCTGGAGGGCCTAAGAGATCCTTTGATGTACTTATCTTCAGGTACCAGTTAGAGGTTTGGAGTATATTCACATTGGTCTTTCCTTGCTGAATAGCCACAGCCAGTTTATTCTCTGATATCCCAGAAGGGAAAGGTACCTTACAGTAAGCAACTACAGTCTCTAGAAGAATCTAGAGATGCAGCTAATTTGTGCAATGGGTAAAGCACTATACCTGGTGTCAGGAAGATGTGAATTCAAATCCTGCCCCAAATCCTAGCTGTGTTACCCTGGGCAAGTGACTTATTTCTGCCTCAGTTTCCTCATCTGTAAAATGTGGATGATAGTAATAGCACATATGTGCCAGGGTTGTTGTGAGGGTAAGATGATACATCTGTAAAGTATTTTGCAAACCTTGAAATGTTATATAAATGTTAGCTAGTATTATTATTATTTTTTAATTTTTTTTGCTTTTTACTAAGCAATTGGGGTTAAGTGACTTGCCCAGGGTCACACACCTAGTATGTGTTGTGTGTCTGAGACCGGATTTGAATTTAGATCCTCCTGACTTCACGGCCGGAGTGCTATCCACTGCCCCAATGTTAGCTATTATTATTGTCACCAAAAGCATCACCAGAAATCTTGCTAGTGTGAGTTCACCTCCTTCTGTGTTTACTGCTCATCCCCTTATTTCAATATGCTCCTTATGTTCCAATCCTGAATGACTATGCCATTTATTCTTGGCTTGGTCTGCCTAAGGCCAGATCCCTGATAATTTTAGGTTCAGTATTAGAGCAAAATGAACACTTGGACATCATTCTACAGGTAGCTAAAGGAAATTTACTTAACATAGCAGGAGAAGGATGTGTTCCACAAGGTTAGGCATTGAGATCACCTCAGGTTTGATTCAGCTGGGAGAAACTTGCTCAGATAGCTTCTGGAGCTGATCCTCGATACTCTGCACTTAGGTAACTGGGAAGTGATGACTCTTTAGTCCCCTAAGCCAAGCAATTATCACAAATGTTTACACCACTGTCTGAGGAAAAAACTAGGCTAACGTGCAGAAACAGAGGTTAGCTTACTATTCCTACCACAGCTACCTTCTGCAGGAGACTTTTCCTGACTCCACCTTCCTGATTCCACCCTACCTCCCCCCACCCAGCTGTTCAAGCCTTCCTCTCTAAGATTTTCAATGTACTTGGTATTTCTCTTGCTCTCGCTATTTACATACATGTTGTCTCTCCCATTTGAATGTAAGCTTCTTGAGAGCAGAATCTGTTTTTGCTTTTTCTTTGTATCCTCAGCATAATGTCTGGCACATAGGAAGTTTTTATTATATGATTCTTGATTTATTGATCACTTTATACTTCTGATATCACAGGTAGGGATGTGCCAATCAACTGGAATCTTCCTGACATAGATGCAAAGTGGAGAGTGGGTGGCACTGTATTTTAAAAAAGGAGGAAAGTAGAGAGGAATAACAAGGCAGAAGAAAGGGATGTGACAAAGCTATAAATAGCTTCGTGGATGAATCCAGACTAAGCCAGCAAAAGCAGAGGTTTTAAGTTGCTCTCACACCTAAAGAAGAACACATAAAAGCTAAATGACCCATCCTAGAACTAACCAAAACCAAGCTTCTTTCTGGTTTCATTAAAAACAGTCTATGATGCTCTTATATATCCACACTTTTTATTTCTTCTATGGGAATCTCTCTGAAAAACCTCTGAAACTCTCAAAAAAACCCTATTGCTATGGGATAACTTGTAAATAAGTCGAATTGAGAATTTCCCTCTCTTGTCCTTCCTTTACTTCTGGCAAGGTTGTTTTTAGTGTTTTTATTCTGATTCACTGATATTTGGCACAGGAAAGAAAGGAGACTACCATCTTGGAGCTAAAGAACGATCTTCAAACACAGATAGAAGAATTGAAAAGACAGAAAGAAGAAAGGGTACAAGAACAGAAACTACTTCAAGAACAAGAGCACAAATTGTGTCAGATTCTTTGTGTGCTCCCATACAGCCTTGACAATGACTCGGTACTCAGCATAGAGGAGCTGAACCAGTTCAGAAATCACCTGGCAGCTCTGGAGGAAACAAAGGTATAATTGCTTCTTGACATTCTTCCTGTCTGTGTGTTTCACTCACTTCTGAGGTGCCTCATAACTTATTTGCTTTTATAGGCAAGGTGACGGAAGAATTTGTTAGCGCAAAGAAGCAGATCCTACTCTGTATGGAAGATCTGGATCACACTCCAGAAACGGATTTTGAGAGAGATGTGGTATATAGGGATGACGAGACTTTTTTTCTGTCACTGGAGAACATAACAGCCCTAAAGAATCTGCTTTCACAGGTATACCGCTGCAAATTCAAGATATTAGTAACTTGCGTGTAGAACTTTGGAAAGGAGCTGTGGCTAGAACATCGACAATGTTTGCTTTATTTCTACATGTGGGTTTACTCGGTATGGCCCAGTAGTTTCATGTTAACTTTAGAAATTTGGGTTGTTTTTATTTCTTTTTGCACCTTATACAAAAGTGGCAAGCTTGTAACCAAAATAGAAACAATAATATTTCCATTGCTAGAGTTCTTTAAGGTTTCCAAACTGGTTTCCTCGAAAAAAGAAAACTATGAAAACCCAGCAATTGGCAGAGGTGACAAAATATGGGAATAATCACTGTTGAAGAAGCACAATAAAGTTGGTTTAATCATTTTGAAAAAAAAATTGGGGGCCAGCTAGGTGGTGCAATGGATAGAGCACCAGCCCTGAAGTCAGGAAGACCTGAGTTCAAATCTGACCTCAGACCAAACGCTTTACACTTTCTAGCTGTGTGACCCTGGGCAAGTCACTTAACCCCAATTGCCTTAAAAAAAGAAAAGAAAACAATTTCTGAGGGAAAAAAGTGACTAAAATGCTCATACCCTTTAATGTAGAGATCCTGCTGCTAAGTAAGTACTCCAAGGAAGTCAATGATTTTTCTTTTCTTTTTTTTTAAATATAAATTTATTTATTTGTAGTTTTCAACATTCATTTCCACAAGTTTTTGAGTTCCAAATTTTCAGCCCGTCTCACCCTCCCCCCACCCCAAGATGGCATGCATTCTGAATATCCCTTCCCCTAGTCTGTCCTTTTTCTTTCTTTCTCCCTTCTCTTATCCCCTTCCCCTTCTTTTTTCTGTAGGTCAGGATAGACTTCCGTGCCCCATTTCCTGTATTTCTTATTTCCCAATAGCATGTGAAAACTTTTTTTTAGACACACGGTTTTAAAACTTTAGGTTTCACATTTTCTCTCCTCCTCCCTCCCCACCCACCTTAATTGAAAAGGCAAGAAACTCAATATAGGTTGTACATGTGCACTTATGCAAAACACTTCCATAGTAGACATGTTGTGAAAAACTAACTCTATTTTCCTTAATCCTTTCTGCCCTCCCATTATTCTATTCTTTCTTTTGACCCTGTTCCTCCTCAGAAGTATTTACTTCTGATTACACCCTTTTCCAATCGGCCCTCCTCTGTATCATCCCCCTGCTCTCTTGTCCCCTTCTCCCCCTGTTTTTTTGTAGGGTAAGACAAATCTCCATACCCAACGGAATGTGTATGTTATTCCCTCCTTACGCCAAATCCTATGAGAATAAGATTTACTCATTCCCTCTCACCTTCGCCTGCTTCCCCTCCAATGTAAGAGACTTTTCTTTTCTGTTTTTCTTTTTTGTGAGATAATTTACCCCATTCTACCTCTCCCTTTCTTCTTCTCTGAGTATAATCCTCCATCATCCCTTAATTTTATTCTTCAGATATGACCCCTTAATCTTCAACTCACCCTGTGCCTTCTATCTATCTATCTACCTATACATACATATATTTTTTTTCCTCCAACTACCGTAATACAGACAAAGGTCTCATGAGTTATAAATATTATCTTTCCATGCAGGAATGTAAACAGTTCAATCTTAATAAGTCCCTAATGATTTCTCTTTCCGGTTTACCTCTTCATGTTCCACTGGAGTCCTGTATTTGAAAGTCAAACTTTCTATTCAGCTGTGGTCTTTTCATCAAGAATGCTTGAGAGTCCTCTATTCCACTAAATGACCATTTTTTCCCCTGAAGGATTATACTCAGTTTTGCTGGGTAGGTGATTCTTGGTTGTAATCCTACCTCCTTTGCCCTCCGGAATATTATATTCCATGCCCTGTAGCCCTTTAATGTAGAAGCTGCTAAATCTTGTGTTATCCTGATTGTGTTTCCACAGTACTTGAATTTTTTCCTTCTGGCAGCTTGTAATATTTTCTCCTTGACCTGGGAACTCTGGATTTGACTATAATATTCGTAGGAGTTTTCCTTTGGGGATCTCTTTCAGGAGGAGATCTGTGGATTCTTTCAATTTCTATTTTGCCCTCTGGTTCTACTATATCAGGGCAGTTTTCCTTGATAATTTCTTGAAAGATGATGTCTAGGCTCTGGTTTTGATCATTGCTTTCAGACAGTCCAATAATTTTTTAAATTCTCTCTCCTGGATTTATTTTCCAGGTCAGTTGTTTTTACAATGAGATAGTTCACACTGTTTTCTAATTTTTCATTCTTTTGGATTTGTTTTACAGTGTCTTGATTTCCCATAAACTTACTAGCTTCCAATTGCTCTATTCTAATTTTTAAGGAAGTATTTTCTTCAGTAATCTTTTGGACTTCCTTTTCCATTTGGCCAATTTTTCTTTTTAGGGCATTTTTCTCCTCATTGGCTTTTTGGACCTCTTTTGCCATTTGGGTTAGGCTATTTTTTAAGGTGTTAATTTCTTCAGTATTTTTTTCGGGCTCCTTAGCAAGCTGTTGACTTGTTTTTCATGATTTTCTTGCATCACTCACATTTCTCTTTGCAGTTTTTCCTCGCTTCCCTTACTTGCTTCTCAAAATCCCCTTTGACCTCTCACAAGCCATGGGACTGATTCATGTTTTTCTTGGAGGCTTCGGATGTAGGATGTAAGATTGTCTTCTTCTGGTTGTATATTTTGTTCTTCTTTGTCACCAAAGTAAGATAATATAGTCTGACTCTTTTTGTGCTGCTTGCTCATGATCCTGGCCAATTACTGGAGTTTTAAACTCTTTGTTAAGGTAAGAGTCTGCTTCCAATGTGGAGAATTTACTGTCCTAAGCTTCAGGGGTTTGTACAGCTGTTTTCAGAGATACTTGTAGGTACCTGTAAATTTTCAGTTCTTCCAAGGTGGTATGATAAGGGGCGAGGTATTTACTCCTTTCCTGGCCTGTGACCACAAGTATTCCTTTCTGTCCTGTAACTGTGAGGAAGGGTTCCTCTCCACAGCCACTACAAGCTCCACCATACCAGCATTCCTCCTCACCCCAGCATTGCCTCCAAGAACGGTGACCCAGATCCAAACACGGACAAAGCAAGAGATTCCTGCCTCCGCACTGGCAAAGAGATCCCTGCAATCCCTCTCTGATCAGCCACTGGATTCCCCCTCAGTCTGTGGGCCGGAAGCTCAGCAAGCAGCTTCCCCCCCAACCACACAATTTTGGGGAATGAAACTGAGACCCCGCCTTCCTTTCTCAGCACCGACAGAAACAGACTTTTCCCACTGACCTTCTAAATTGTCTTTGGCATTAGTGGGTTGAGGAGTCTGGAAACCTCCACAGCTGTCTGAGATTCAGTCCTCTGAGGCCTGCTCCAGTTTCGCTGAGGTCTGTGCTCCCACACTGTGCTGGGCTGCACTCCCAGCCCGGCTCGATACACCTTTCTAATCAATCATCCAGGTTGTCTTGGTCTGGAAATTTGTTTCACTCTGTCTTTTTGTGGATTCTGCTGCTTCAGAATTTGTTTAGATCCATTTTTTATAAGTATTTGGAGGGGTTTGGGGAGAGCTTAAGCAAGTCACTGCTTTCACTCCGCCATCTTGGATCCGCCCCCAAAGTCAATGATTTTTCAAAAAACTCCATATCTAACAACTTATACAGAGTAGAACATTGTTTTTCATTTTAAATTTTAAAAAATTTATTTTTAATATTAAAAAAAAGTTTTGAGTTCCAAATTCCCTCCCCCACCCATTGAGAAAGCAAGTAATATGATATCAACTATACAGGTAATGTCTTGTGAAACAGTTTCACATCAGCCATGTTGGCTGAACTTTCTGTGGTAGAAAAGAAGTAGAAACAAAATAGCCGTTATTTGCAGAATGTCTAAACAAATTGTGGTACAAAAACATAATGGAATGTTACTACATTGTAAGATATGATGAATATGAAGAATTTAGTAAGAAGAATTGAAAGAATTGTGGGAACACTTACATGAACTGTTGATGCAGAGTGAAATGAGCAGAAACCGGAAAACCATACAGAATGACTACAATCATGTAAGTGGGAAGATTAAAAACAATACTGAATGCTATGTAAGTATTGTATGAAGCTTGTTCTCAAAGAGATGAGAAAATATACTTCCCTCCCTTTGCAGAGGTGTGGGACTATGGATATGGAGCATTACATATCCTGCCAGACTGTTGATGGGATCATAGCATCGTAGATCTATAGGTAAAAGGCCATCTAGTTCAAACCCTTTATTTTGCAGATGAGACACGGGGAAGGCCCATACCTAAGTCAGACAGGCAGTAAGTAGCAGAGTTAGAATTTCAGTCCTCTCACTTCAAATTCATTATGTTCACTACCACACCTTTTTTCATTAAATTTATAGATATGCTTTTTTTCCCTTTTCATTTCGATTTTGTTGTTATAAGAAATGGTTCTCTGGGTAGAGGATAAAAGAGGGATATTCAATCAAAGACCCCAACTATTGGAATAAGGTGTCAGTATTTGATAAAAACTACTGAGAAAAATAGAAAACAGTCTAGCAGAAAACAAGTTTAGACCAAGATCTCACACCATGTACTTCAACAAGCTCCAAATGAACAGACCTAGATATATAAGGTCCCATCATAAATCAATTAGAGGAGAAATGAAGAAAACACTTTTCTCAACTCTAGGTGAAAAGTTCAAGACCAGACAAGAGGTAGAGGGGAGCATAGAAGATCCATGGAAATGGCTAATTTTGATTCCATAAAATTGTAACAAAATGCAGTTAAAATTAGAAGGATGACAAATGGTCTACATAACCACATGAAAAAATGCTTCAAATCACCAATTATTGTGCTGTTGCTGTTCTTCAGTCATTTCTGTCATGTCCAACTCTTCATGACTCTATTTTGATGTTTTGTTAGGGAAAATACTAGAGCGGTTTGCCATTAATTCTCCAGCTCATTTTTATAGGTGAGGAACTGAGACAAACTGAGTTAAATGACTTGCTGGGAGTCACACAACTAGTAAGTGTCTGAGGTCAGATTTGAATTCAGGAAGATGAATCTTCCTGATTCTCAATCCAGTGTTCTATCCATGCACCACCTAGCTGTCTTGTACTAATAACTAGGGAAATGCAAATTAAAGCAACTCTGAGGTTCTACTTCACACCCATCAGATTGGCAAGTTAAGAAAAAAAAGGAAAATGACAGATGTTGGAGAATTTCAATAGGGAGCATGGCCGTCTTGTACTATCATGTTGAATTTTATATATATATATATATATATATATATATATATATATATATATATATATATATATATATATGTATGTATGTATACATATTTGAAGAAATAAGCTGTATGTGATAGAGATACACAATTTCCTACACAATCCTTTTTTCTGTTCCTTATTTAATGGAAATATCCATGTTTGTTGATGTTTGTCAAGATCATGATAAAAAAGAATCTTTTTTTTTCAAATACATTCTGGAATTTTCCCAGGCATCAAAGTCAAGTTTACTAACATATTTTGAAGACTATCCTGTTTTGGAGGGTAAACTGGGAAATCTGATTTCCAATTTTGTAGTATCTCTGTTTCAGTAATTTTAAGAGATCACTAATGATGGTTTAACTGTCATATTCACCAGTTACTTTAGACTTTGGTATGTTTGTTTGAGCCACTTTTCTCACTATGATTTATCCTTATGTGAACTGCTAGAAGAAGGCAGTGATAATGATAATAGCTTGTATTTATACAGTTCCTTAACATTTACAGAGCATTTTACAAATCTCTTGAGGAAACTAAGGCAGAGTTTAAGTGAACTTGATAATCTTCCTGATCCTAATACTTTAGCCATTACCACAATGTTTCTATATATTCAATTTACCTCTGAATTATTTGTGGTTAGTGTACCCCTCAGCAGGAAGTCCAATTTCTTCTTCCTCTAATTAGAACTCTTCTCTTGGCGACACAGCAGTTGCACATCATCCTTCCTTTAGAGCAGAATACAAAGAGCTGCTTGCCTCTGAGGGGTCAAGATCCTTGCTCTGTGGAAAGAGCATTGTTATCTATTGCAGAGCTCAAAACGATGAAGTTTTCCCTCTTTCCCCTGCCATGTCACTTTTTTACATCCATGAACCTCCCCACACAGGATAGTATTCCGTTATGCCTCTTGCTGTTTTTATTCTCTTTTGAAGCACTTCTTCTCATTCTTTCCAGGAACATTTCATTTGCCCTGACACCTTGCAATATAAGTTCCTTGAGAATCGGGATTGTTTCACTCTTTTTTAAAATTATTCCTCACATCTAGTAGGTGCTCAATAAATGCTTGCTGAATACCTGGAGAGAGGTATGCCATTAGCCCTTTTACCGTATCCTCTGATAGGGGGACCAACGTGCAGTTTGTGCATGTACACATGACACTGGCAGCTAAACGGCATGTTATTTTCTCCATTTATCACAAAATTCTCCATATTACAAAATTCTCCATGTTCTTCAAACTTGTGGGAAGTTTTGTTCTTGTAACTAACTCTTGGTGAATCGTTGTTTGCTCCCACCCATTCACCACCTGTGGGCTCCTGATAGAACTTTATTTATAGTAAGCTTCCAGTCTTTTTCACCAGCTTGCTCAGCTGCCTTGGATTCTAGTTAATATTTCTGTAAAGCCCTAAAACAAACAGAAGCAACACTGAACTATTGTCTGAAAGGCCTTAAACAGGAACCCAACTCCTAGCCAATTTTCACTTCCTAGCTACTTCCAAACCATGTTGCCTCAACCCCTTGCCACTGGAATGTGGTTTCTGTCCCTAGGATTCTGGCTCTTGATAGGTCAACTTTTTTTTGTGAGATAATTGGGGTAAGTGACTTGCTCAGAGTCACACAGATAGTGAGTATTATGTGTTTGAGGCCATATTTGAACTCAGGTCCTCCTGACTTCAAGGCCGGTGCTCTATCCACTGTGCCACCTAGCTGCCCCAGTAGGTGAACTTATGTCATATGTTGCCTGAAGTCCTGGAATTATCAGGCCTCCAGAGCACTTCCAACCATTTCCAAACCATGTTGCCAGTCACGCATTTCTCTCCTCCTTCTGCCTCCCTTTTATGTGTTACCTTACCACATCAGAACATAAGCTCCTTGAGAGCAGTGACTGCCATGCTTGCTCGTATTTAGATGCCTAGTGCCTGGTGCATTGGAAGTCCTTAACTTGTTTTCATTAATTCACTCTCTTTTCAGCTGATCAGATTTCAGACACCCACTCCTGTCTTCTGCCTTGTTGCTTCAACATCTTCAGCTATTTCTCTTTTAAAAGGAGGTACTTTACTTTGATTAGGAATGCATTTTCTTTGTTGCAGCTAGAAAAGGAAAAAGCTGAGAATGAAGTTGTGTGTAAAGGGCTACACTGTCGAATCAGGGAACTTTGGCTCTGGTTACAAATACCTACCCGGGAGAGAGAAGCTCTGGCCATGTCCATCACTGGGCCAAAGGCCATGATCAGAAAAGTGGTAAGAAAATATAATAGGCCAGACATGGGCAACCTTTCTGTCTTGGTAAGTCAAGGTTCTGATTCTTTTCATTAGTGTGTCAGACATGGCAGAAAGAAAGGATTGCTTGTTGCTGTCCGACCTCTGACCTGTGAGACATCTTTTGTGCCAGGGGAATGGGATGCATTATCTTTGGTGTGTATACCATAGATTGTCAACTTCTATAACAGAAGTTTCTATGTTTTTCCATCAGTTTTGGCAAGGAGGCCATATATTTGTCTCTATGACTTTCTGGGTTTTGTTTACTATCCTCTGAAAATTATGGAAGACTTAGGAAACTAATGACCGTCTTTCATTTATTTGTTTGTTTATTTATTTGTTTGTTTGTTTTTCATTTATTTTTTGCCTAGGCAATGGGGTTAAGTGACTTGCCCAGGGTCACACAGCTAGTAAGTGTCAAGTGTCTGAGGCCAGATTTGAACTCAGGTCCTCCTGAATCCAAGCCTGGAGCTCTATCCTCTGTGCCACCTAGCTGCCCCAGTGTCCCTCTTTTATAGATTCATTCTTAGAAACCATCTTAGAACATACTTTTGAGTCATTGAATACCTTGAATTATGAACTAACCTTTTATTGCCAGTGCTCTTGCCTGTTAATTTGAGCCCTGAAAACTTGGTAGATGATTAGGTGAAATCAAACTCTAAACTGAGGCTTGACTAAACAGAAGAAACTTGGCATAAAACTAATGTTAAATCTGTTCTCGAGAAAAAAGAGAAGCACTTTTTGGACAGTTCTCCCCTTTGCAGCTACAGTTAGAAGTGGATCGGTTGGAGGATTTGAGGATTCAGAACTTGAAGAAAATGATTGAAGCAATCAGGGTGGAGCTGGCACTATATTGGGAAAAATGTTTTTACAGCCAACAGCAAAAAGAAGCCTTTACACATTACTATAACGGTTAGTACGGGAACTATATCAACCTAGGCTTGCCTGCTTGCTGCTGCACTTCTATAAGCCAGATCTGAGAAGAACATGTGTTTGAAAAAGAATTCAGGTCAGATTATTTTTCTTGTTATCAATGTAAATTGGTATTCTTGTACAGATGACAGTTTGTAAGGCTGTTGGAAGTGATCTGCAGTTTTTCTCATTTGAAGCATTTCCTATAGAAATTATATGACAGAGTAGGAAAGGAGTAGGAAACTTTTCCCTCTTGAATCTCTCAATGTAGCTGGCCACCTGGGATGATACACCCAAGCATCTATTTTTGTCAAGTTTCTGATATGCTACTGTGCTTAATCCTGAGGCAGGGGATGCAAAAGAAATTTAGAAAACTTGGGTCCTACCCTTAAGGAGCTTATATTTTCATTGGAGAGAGATGGCTAACATGTAAACACGATTAATATCAGGGAATAACCATAGAAAATAGAAGGGAGTATGTGATTATATAAAAAAGTAATAGTACAATTAAATGCTACACAAATAGTAACTGAGACGAAGTAACAGGGGAGACCTGAAAGCAGGAGATAGTGTTTGACCTGGGCTTTAAAGGATGGATAGTATTTCGATAGAAAGGGTAGAATAGATATAGTATGAATGAAAGCATGGAGGTTAGATTGAACATAGCATTATCTATTTAGGGGAGGAGTGGGAAAGGTAAGGCTGTGCCATTAGAGGGTTTAGAACATGCGTTCTTAACCTTTGTGTCATGGACTTTTATGGCAATCTGAAGTCTATGGACCCTTAATCGAAATAGTGTTTTTAACTGCATAAAATGAAACACAAAGGAAATCAATCATATTTACTTCATATATGTGTATATATGTACATATATGTATTTATGTATATATGTACACGTATATATATATAGAGAGAATGTGTATGTATGTGTATATATGTGTGTATACATAATTATATATACATGTGTGTATATTATATATATACAGTGTGCCATTCTGAATATCCCTTCCCCTAATCTGTCCCCCTTCTATCTCCCCCTTCTCTTATCCCCTTCCCCTTCAATTTTCCTGTAGGGCAGGATTGATTTCTATACCCCATGACCTATGTATCTTATTTCCCAGTTACACATAAAAACAATTTTTAACATTTGTTTTTAAAACTTTGGGTTCCAAATTTCCCCCCTTCCTCCCTCCTCACCCACCGTCATTGAGAATGCAAGCAACTTGATACAGGTTATATATGTGTAGTCATGCAAAATACTTCCGTAGTAGTCATGTTGTGAAAAACTATATTTCCATTCATCCTATCCTACCTGCCATTTATTCTATTCTCTCCTTAGACTCTGTCCCTCCTCAAAAGTGTTTGGTTCTGCTTACCCTTCCCCCTTATTTTCCTAAAGGGTAAAATAGATTTCTATATCCAATTGAGTGTGTATGTTATTCCCTCCTTAAGCCAAATCTGATGAGATTAAGATGCACTCATTCTCTCTCACTTTCTTCCACTTCCCCTCCACTGTAAAAGCTTTTTCTTGTCTGTTTTATGTGAGATAATTTACCCCATTCTACCTCTCTCTTTCTCTTTCTCCCAGTATAATCCTCTCTCACTCCTTAATTTTATTTTTAGATATCATCCCTTCATCTTCAATTCATTCTGTGTCCTCTGTCTATACATATAATATATCGTCTGTCTATCTATCTATCTATCTATCTATCTATCTATCTATCTATCTATGTTTTCCCTACAATTACCCTAATACTGAGAAGGGTCCCATGAGTTACAAATATCATCTTTCCATGTAAGAATGTAAACAGTTCAGCTTTAATAAGTCCTTTATGATTTCTCTTTCCTGTTTACTTATTCATGAGTCTTGTATATGAAAACCAAATTTTCCATTTAGCTCTAGTCTTTTCATCAAGAATGCTTGAGAGTCCTCTATTTCGCTGAATGTCAATTTTTTTCCCCTGAAGCATTATACTCAGTTTTGCTGGGTAGGTGAATCTTGGTTGTAATCCTAGTTCCTTAGACTTCTGGAATATCTTATTCCAAGCCATCTGATCCCTTAACATAGAAACCACTAAATCTTGTTATCCTGATTGCGTTTCTACAATACTTGAATTATTTCTTTATGGCTGCTTGCAATATTTTCTCCTTGACTTGGGAGCTCTGGAATTTGGCTATAATATTCCCTGGAGTTTTCCTTTTGGGATCTCGTTCAGGAGGTGATCTGTGCATTGTTTCTATTTCTATTTTACCCTCTGGTTCTGGAATATGAGGGCAGTTTTCCTTGACAATTTCTTGAAAGATGACGTCTAGGCCCCTTTTTTGATCATGGCTTTCAGGTAGTCCAATAATTTTAATATTATCTCTTCTGCATCTATTTTCCAGGTCACTTGTTTTTCCAATGAGATATTTCACATTCATTGTCTTCTATTTTTTTCCTTTTTTTGGATTTGTTCTACAGTGTCTTGATTTCTCATGAAGTCACTAGCTTCCATTTGTTCCATTCTACTTTTTAAGGAATTATTTTCTTCAGTGAACTTCTGGACTTCCTTTTCCATTTGGCCATTTTTGCTTTTTAAGGCATTCTTCTCCTCATTGGCATTTGGACCTCTTTTGCCATTTGGGTTAGTCCATTTTTAAGGTGTTATTTTCTTCAGTATTTTTTAGGTCCCCTTTAGGAAGCTGTTGACTTATTTTTCATGATTTTCTTCCATCACTCTCATTTCTCTTCCCAGTTTTTCCTCTACTTCTCTTACTTGCTTCTCAAAATCCCTTTTGAGCTCTTCCATGGCCTGGAACTGATTCATATATATATATATATATATATATATATATATACATATATATATAATATATATATGTATATATACATATATATATACATATATATGTATATACATATATATACATATATATATTATTGTTGTTGTTGTTGTTTTGTTTTCTTGGAGTCTTTGGATGTAGGAGATTTGACTCTGTTGTCTTCTTCTGGCTGCATGTTTTGATCTTCTTTGCCACCAAAGTAAGATTTTATGGACTAAGTTTTTTTTTCCATGCTGCCTATTCATGTTCTCACCCAATTACTTCAGTTTTAAACTCTTTGTTAAGGTAGGGGTCTGCTTCCAGTTTGGAGAATGCACTGTCCCAAGCTTCAGGGTTTTTTTGCAGCAGTTTTCAGAGATAATTCTAGGGACCTGTAAATTTTCAGTTCTTTCTAAATGATCAAAGGTGAGGTGTTTACTCCATTCCTGGCATGTACTGTAGTCCATGAGTGACCATAAACACTCTTTTCTGCCTTGGAACTGTGAAGATGATTCTCTCTCCATCATTGCCAAAAGCTGTACCACACCAATGGTCCTCTTCACCCCAGGACCACCATTCAGAGCTGCAACTCAGATCCAAGTATGGGCAAAGCAAGAGAATCCTGCCTCAGCACCAGCAAAGAGATCCCTGCAATCCTTCTCTGATCAGCCACTCAATCCTCCCACTGTCTATGGGTCAACAGTTCCAGAAGCAGCTGCCTCCAAGGGGCTGTGCTAGGACTGAGGCCAGACTGCTCTCCTCTCGCATCAAGGTCCAACAGACCTTTCCTACTGACCTTCTAAGTTGTCTTTGCCATTTGTGAGTTGAGAAGTCTGGAAACCGCTACAACTGTCCTGTGATTCAGTCCCCTGAAGCCTGCTCCAGGTTAACTGAGGGCCTGTTTTTGCCTACCTGGCCCATGCTGAACTGTGCTCCTCTACCATCCCGGCACAACAGACCTTTCTTATCAACCATCCAGGTTTTCTTGGGCTGGAAATTTATTTCACTCTGTCTTTTTGTGGGTTCTACTGCTCTAGAATTTGTTTAGAGCCATTTTTTTTACAACTATTAGGTGGGGGAGAGCTCAAGCAAGGTACTGCTTTTACTCTGCCATCTTGGCTTCACCCCCTGAGAGGGAGAGTCTCGTTTGAGGAAAAATGAGGAAACCAGTGTCACTGGACCATAGACTACATGGAAGAGAATAAGGGATAATAAAACTGGAAAGGTGGGTAAGGGCCAGGTTATGAAGAGTTTTCAAAGGCAAACAGGGCCTATTCTGTTTGATCCTGGAAGTAAAGAGATCCATTGGTGTGACTTTATTGAATTTCATTGAAGAGGAGATAACAAAGAATTGCTCTTTAGGAAGATCACTCAGATGGCTGAGTGAAGGATTGACTGGAGTGGGGAAGAGACTGGAGATAGGGAGTCCAGAAGGCCATTGCAGTAGTCTAGGTGTGATGTGATGAGGGATTGCAGTAGGGTATTGGCAGTGTTAGAGAGAGAAAGGCATGTACATGAAAGATATGAAATTAGAATTGACAAGATTTGGCAAAGTATGGGATATTGGGAGATGAGAAAGTGAGGAATCATGGTACTGGTAGCTGAGAGGATGGTGAGTTTAGAAGAAGGGAGAGTTTGGGGGAAGATGAAGAAGAAAGATAATCAGTTCAGTTTTGGCCAAGCTGAGTTGACATCTAGTTCAAAATATCCAAAAGGCAGTTGGAGATACGAGAATGGAAGTTCAGAGAGGCTTTTAGAACTGGATAAAATAGATTTGAGAATCATTGGCATAGAGATGATAATTGAATCTGTGACAACTGATGAGATCATCAATCAAAAATATAGAGGGAGAAGATTGCCCGGAATAGAGACTTTAGGGGATACCCACTGATAGTGGGTACAAACTGGATGAAGATCTAACAAGAACTGAAATCAGTCAAACTGTTAGAAAGAGAACCAAGAGAGAGAAGTGTAATGAAAACCTAGAGAGAAAAGAATATCTAGGAGAGGAGGGTGGGTTGATACTGTTAAAGATGACAGAGAGGTCAAGAAAGATGAGGATTGAGAAATGGCTATTAGATTTGGCAGTTAAGAAGTCATATGATTGCAATTGAATACTATTGTGCTGTAAGAAATGATGAGCAAGATGCTTTCACAAAAACCTGGACTTACAGGAACTGATGCAAAGTAAAGTGGGCAGAACCAGGAGAACATTGTACATAGTAACAACAATGTTGTATGATGATCACCTGTGAATGATTTAGCTATCCTTAGCAGTACAGTGATCCAAGACACTTCTAAAAGACCTCTGATGAAAAATGCTATCCACCTCCAGAGAAAAAAGCTGATGGAATCTCAATGCAGCTTGGAGCGCACTATTTCTTTAAACTTTCTTTCTTTTTCCTTTTATTTTGATTGTGCTTTCTTTCACAGCATGACTAATATAGCAATATGTTTTGCATGAGTACACATGTATAACATTTATCAAATTACTTGTTTTCTTGGCAAGGGGAAAGGAAGGGGAGGGTGGAAGAGAATTTGGAACTCAAAATTTAAAAAGTAAAGGTTAAATTTTGGTTTTATATATAATATGAAAATATTAAAAGTCAAATAAATGAAAAGATCATAGATAACTTTAGAGAGCATTGAATGATGAGGTCAGAAGACAGAGTGGCTAAGCATAAGAGGAAAGGAAGTGAAGACATGGATTGTAGACAGCTTCCTTGAGGAGGTTAGCTACAAAAGAGAGGAGAGGTCTACAGGTTAATAGTCAGCAGAGATAGATGTATCAAGTGAGAGTTTAAGGGTGGAGGAGATATGAGCATGCTTGTAGACATCAGGAAAGCATACAGCAGACAGGGAGAAATGAAAGACTGGAGAGAAAGTAGGAATGAGAGAAGGGTAATTTGCTGAAAAATATGGGATGGAATGGATCAAGTGAGGCTGTGATAAGAGAAGAGTGTAAGTGACTCATTATACTTGGAAATTTGGAGCATTTTGCTATATTGGAAACAGGAAAGATTAGCAAGACTTTAGAGGAATTTTAAAGTTTGGCTTATTTATCTCCCTCACACAGAGAACTACACAGAGATCTTGCTAAGGCTCCATGATGAAGAAATTGTGAAGGTGAAACAATATTATGAGCTGCACAAAGAACTATTTGAAGGCATTCAGAAGTGGGAAAAGAACTGGAGGCTTTTCTTGGAATTTGAGGTACTTTTTTAGAGGGAGAGAGGAGGGAAAGGCAAGAAAAGAAGAGTGTAATAAGTTGTGCTGAATAGAATTGCTGAAACCCCATTCCTTGGTGCAATGAGATTTCTGAAACCTGGTTTTGCCTCCTAAGTCTCCTCATTTCCGCAAGCCATGTCTTGCTAACTTCTCATGAACCTACTTAAAGATGAGTTCTGGTTGGGAATACTTTGGATTCCTTTTCTGGCACCTTAGTTGTTAGTGCAGGGAAGGAATACATTTCTGGCTTCTGAGGTGTATGGTTTTATGAAATTAAAGGACTCCCAAGAACTAAATCTTCCTTCTATGTTTGGATTTATTGCTTAAATAGTAGCTCTAATTAAAATTTATTGTCTCCATTTACAGCAGCAAATGACTTTAGTAATAACCGTGTGTTTGACAAGTGTGAAGACTTATGTTTTTGAGAGAAGAATTCATTAGTTAGTACAAAATTGTTGAAAAAGCTGAAAGTAGTCCGGCAGAAATTGGGCATAGACCATTCATACACCATTTCCCAAGATAAGGTCAAAATGGATACATGACCTATATAGAAAGAGAGATATTACAAGAAAGATTGAAGAACATGGAATATATTACCTATCAGGCTTACGGAGAGGTGAACAATCTATGAAGAAACAAGGTATAGAGAGCAGTATGAGGTGTAAAATGGAAAATTTCAGTTACATCAAGTTAAAAAGGTTTTGTTCAAATAAAACAAATGTAGCCAAGATCAGAAGGAAAGCAGAAAATTGGGGTAAAATTTTATACATAGTTTCTCAAATAAAGTTCTGATATCTCAAATATATACAGAACTTTGTCAAATGTATAAAAATACAAGTTATTTCCCACTTGATAAATGGTCAAAGGATATGAACAGGCAGCTTTCCAATAAAGAAATTAAAATAATGTATAGTCATATGACAAAATGCTCTAAATCATGATTGATTAGAGAAATCAAAATTAAAATAATCTTGAGATATCATTTTACACCTACCCAATTGGCCAAAATAATTGAAGAGGAAAGTGCCAAATGTTGGAGGAGATATGGAAAAATTGGGACACTAATTCATAGTTGGTGTAACTGTGAACTGATCTAACCATTTTGAAGAGCAATCTGGAATTATGCCCAAAGAGTTATTAGACTGCCTATACCGTTTGACCCTGCAATACCATTACTAGGTCTATTTCCAAAGATACTTAGAGAAAAAGGAAAAGAACCTATATGTTCCAAAGTATTTATAGCAGCTCTCTTTGTGGTGGCAAAGAACTGGAAATTATGGGGATGCTTATCAGTTAGGGGATGGCTGAACAAGTTGTGGTTTATGACTATTGTTATAAGAAATGATGAGTTTGATGATCTTTGAAAAACATGGATAGACTTGCATGAAATAATGAAGCACAAATTGAGCAGAACCAAGAGAACATTGCATACATTAACAGCAATATTATTTTAAGAACAACTTGGAGCTAGTAATGTATTTTGACTCTTATAAATACCCATATTAACTACACATGACCTATGAAGGAAGATGCTATCTGCATCCAGAAAAAGAACTGATAAATAGAAGTATGTATAGAATTATTTTACATAAAAATACTTATTTGTTTCTAATGGTAGCCATCTCTAGGTCTGGGGCAGTGAGGAAAGAAAAAAAAAGGAAAAAAGTTACATGATAGCTTTAATACATATTTTAAAGGAATAGCAAGTTGTACATCATAGATTTGCAGTTTCATGTGCAGTCATGTTTTTTCTATTCTAATATGTTACAGAAATGGTTGTTTTATTTCTAGAATTCAGAATAAAATCAATTTAAAAAAAAATGTTGTCTCCACAGAGAAAAGCTTCAGATCCAAGCCGATTTAGGAACCGTGGTGGAAATCTCTTAAAAGAAGAAAAGCATGGAGCCAAGCTACAAAAAACACTCTTTAAGGTAGACAATGCTTTTTGGAGTGCTCTTCATGTTTTACACGAAAGGTCCTTCATTTCAAAATCGAGCTTTGATAAAAGCAGAATAAGGAAAACAACACACACTGATTACAACAACATCAATAGAAAGAACAAAATTTTCTAGTTGAACACTGCTTAATGACAATGACCAAACTTGGCCTGGAAAAAGAGTTAAGAAAAGGTCCCTGAACGTCCTTTTTTTTTCTTTGTACCAGTGGGGTTTTTTAGGTGTGGTACTCTCCAGTTGGTTGATGTCTTGGTTGGTTTTGTTGAATTGCTTTGCACTCCTCCCCACCCCACCCATTTTTTTCTTTGTTATGAGGGATGACTCCTGGAGGAGGAAAGAATGAGAGAGATACATTCAGAAATAAAGGTGATAAAAAAGAAAACACCAAAAAATGCCTTTTAAAATCTGTCCTTTAAGTTTTCTGCCCAACAGTGACTACAGTAATCTACTGTTTGATAAACCCAAAGCCCCCAGCTTCTGGAATAAGAACTCATGATTTGACAAAAATTTCTGGGAAAACCGGAAAATAGTATGGCAGAAATGAGGCATAGACCAATATCTTACACCCTATACCAGGATAAAGTCAGAATAGGTTCACAATTTAGATACAAAGGCTGATACTATAAGCAAACTAGGAGAGCAAAGAAGTTTACCTGTCAGATTTATGGAGAATGGAAGAATTTGTGACCAGACAAGGGATAGAAAACATTATGAAATGCAAAATGGATAATTTTGATTACATTAAATGGAAAAGGTTTCACAGAAACAAAGCCAATGCAACCAAAATTAGAAGGGAAGCAGAAAGCTTGAAAACAGTTTTTACAACCAGTGTCTCTGATAAAGGCCTCATTTCTAAAATATGTAGTGAACGGAGTCAAACTTATAAGAATACAAGTCATTCCCCAAATGACAAATGGTCAACGGATGTGAACAGGCAGTTTTCAGAGGAAGAAATGCTCTATATCACTTTGATTAGATAAATGCAAAACAAAACAATTCTGAGGTAGTGTATCACACCTATTAGGTTGAATAACATGATAAAACAGGAAAATTATAAATGCTGGAGAGGATATGGGAAAACTAGAACACTAATGCATTGTTGATGGAGTTATAAACTAATCCAACCATTCTGGAGAGCAATTTGGAAGTATGTCCAAAGGGCCATAAAACTGTATACCTTTGACCCAGCAATACCACTTCTTGGTCTGTATCCCAAAGAGGCCATACAAATGGGAAAAGGACCCACGTGTACCAAAAATATTTACAGCAGCTCTTTTTGTGGTGGTCAGTAATTGGAAACTGAGAGGAGGCTCATCTATTGGGGAATGGCAGAACAAGTTGTGGTATATGAATGTAATGGAATACTAGTGTTCCATAAGTAATGATGAGCAGGTGGACTTCAGAAAAACCTGGAAAAACTTACATGAACTGATGCTGAGTGAAGTGAGCAGAAACAGGAAAACGTTGTACACAGTAACAGTCACAGTATGTGATGAGCAACTTTGATACACTTACCTCTTCTTAGCAGTGCAAAGATCGAAGACATCTGCAAAAGAGTCAAGATGGAAAATACTATGCACATCCAGAGAAAGAATTATGGAGTGTGAATGCAAATGGAAGCATATTATTTGCATTCTTTTTTTTCTTTTGGTTTTGTTTTGTTTCTTCTTTCTCATGGTTCCTCACATTGGTTCTAATTCTTCTATACAACATGACTAATGTGAAAATGTGTTTAATATATCTGTAGACCCTATATCAGATTACACACCATCTTGGGGAGGGAGGCAGGCAGGGAGGCAGGGTGGGAGGGGGAGAAAATTTAAAACTCAAAATTTCATTCTCATAGAAGTGAATGTTGAAAACTAAAAATGAATTAACTAAGTAATTTTTTTAAGTTTTCTGCCCAAGAAACAAGTCCTATATTAATTTCTCCAAACAGATAGAATGCTACATTATACCTCTCAAGAAGGCTATCCTTACTAGAGTTGTCCATTGGGTCACAAAAGATGTTCTTAGGATGGAGCTTCCTCAGGCATTAGAATTCTTGTGAAGATCCAACCATTGTGACTTGGGTTTTGCTGAATGCCATAGCATCAGGTGCCATTAAAACAAAACAAAACAAAAACTTAGAAGTGCATGTAATTTATTTCTCTTTGCTCCCTCATGTGTTATCTAAATAAGCTGGGGCTTTTTCCCCCTAATGATCAATTTTATGTACATTCTGTCTTGCTCTCATGTTTTGCTTAGAGTTACAAACATATTGAAATAGCACAATCGACCCCTGAATGGAAGAAGTCACCCTTTGGAACAGCAAGATTAATAGCGTGTTAGCGAGTTATTGATAATAAGCTTTCCTTTTTTTAAATAACCTCAGCTGGAAGAGGAGTTGAAAACGCGGATTGAAATGTGGGAAAAAGAACATTCTGAGACTTTTGTGGTGAATGGCCAGAAATTCACAGAATATATGATGGAACAGTGGAAGATGTTTCATTTGAACAAAGAGAAAGAAAAGCAGGAACGAGTAAGTAAAAACAAAGGGAGAAAAGCTGTGAGCTAAGTTGGAGGGATGGTGAGAGAATACAATCTATGTCCATCCCTTGCCTTCCATTTTGTGTGTGCTATAGACTAGCTTTGGGGCTGTGCCTTCACACCCCCTTTTTTTTTCATGTTGTGCTTATCACTGATGATTCTTATTCGTATAGCAACTAAAGAAGAACCAAGAAACGGGAGCAGAGATGTCATATAGCAGCAGATCCAAAATACCCTTCAAGAAGGAAGGACTCAGGCCTAATTCATCAGGCAAAGGCTACAAGGTAACAAAGCTTTACCTCATTAAAAAGTCTGACTCTTACTCAGAGAAGTATTGTTTGGAAAAAGGTAGTAGGAATGATATCCAAACTGGCAGCTTGCTGGCTTGGCAACTTTAATCCAAGTGTTTTGAGTGAATGCCATTAAAGCCCAGTATAGTTTACCTAATCATTGTTTACCCTCTTTTTGGAGTGGGACAAGTCCCTGCCTGTGTGCTGATAATCTCAAAGAACCTCTACCTTGCTAACCACCATGATTACCCAGTGAATGTTCAGCCATCTATCTTATGTTAACTGCACTAAACTTTCAGAGTGTACTGAAGCAGGAATTTTCTAGGATTGTATTATCGACTTGGAAAGAAGGAAAGGATCATTTATTAAGTGCCTATTATGTGCTAGGTACCATGCTAGGCCCCTTTTCAAATATTATCTCATTTGATCCTTAACCCTGGGAGGGAAGGATTGTTATTATCCCCATTTTACAACTGAGGACACTGAGTTTAAGTGACTTGCCCAGGTTCACACAGCTAATGTCTAATGCTGGATTTGAACTTGGGTATTCTTGACTCCAGGCCCAGCTGTATGCCTCTCTAAATTAGAATCCAAATTAAAAACTGGAATAGGCATCAAGCTAGCATGATAAATGAAGGAGCATAACTATATGACCTCTGGGGCTCCTTCCATCCATAAATCTTCTGAAACCTTGAAGTTCCATCTAACAAAGGGATGAACATTTTTCACATTGCTATCATTAGGCCTTTCATTATTTGACTGATAAGTGAAGGGTTCTCATCGTGCCTGTTCTTTTGGTCAGGTTCAAGCCAGACACACCCATGAAACAGGATTCCCTGTTGCACAGCTGCTACTATTCCTCACAGCTCTCATCATGGAAACCACTTTTCTTTCTAGTTGTAATGGTTTAGTTAAATAGCTATTAGCTTCTTCCTCTGGTGATCTTTGCCTTTTGCTTCCAACTTCTCTCATCCCATGTACTTCAGTCTAAGATTATCTTAGCAGCAGGTTCTCACAGTACTCTCAGACTTATACAATGATAAATGTGTCTTGTCCTTGTGAAACAAGCTTAAAGTGCCAGTGTTTCCACCCTTATCGCCTTCCTGGGTAGTAGCTTTTCACTAACAAGTGCCTTCTAGACACGGGAAATTGTTTTTATACCTTCTTGTATAGCTCAGAATGTCCTGGGGTATAGCTATGTGCATCTGAGTTTTTGTTACTGTACGAAGCAGCGTTTTTCTATGATTCTTGCTGGAGTAGGTAACTAAGATGTGTTCCATGGCATCATTCCCTCTGCCTGCTCCTTAGAGACTGTGCTGACAGGGTGGGCCAAGGAGGAAGACTTCACGGACCTGCCAGATTTCTGGGCTCTTCTGAGAATGTGCTTCCCTCCCCACTTTCCTCATCTGTTTTTTATTTCTCTTCCAACAGTAAAAATCATCAGAGACTTACAACTTTGATATCTTCAGTGCCCTTCCAACGTTTACTTCTTCATCCTTCCTGGAGTTCACTACAAGTTTTTTTTTCCCCCTGCGGATAAGGGAATACTTTATGATTAAACAAGCGAAAAGAATATTTTGGGACATAAAGCCAATGCAGCCAAGGTTACAAGGAAAGCAAAGAATTTGTGGGTGGGGGAATTTACATCAAATTTCACTAATAAATGCCACACTTCTCACGTATGTAGAGGACTGAGTCAGATTTATAAGAATATGAGTCATTCTGTAATTGATAAGTAAGTAAAGGATATGTTTGTTTTTGTTTTTGGCTAGGCAATGGGGTTAAGTGACTTGCCCGGGTTACACAGCCAGTAAGTGTTATGTGTCTGATGCCAGATTTGAACTCAGGTCCTCCTGAATCCAGGGCCAGTGGTCTATCCACTCACCACCGAACTGCCCCCATGATCAAAGGATATGAATGATTAGTTTTCAGAAGAAGAAATCAAAGTTCTCTAAAGGCATATAAGTTTATTATAAGTATGTTAAGGTAGCAAATGAAGATCAATGATAGCTTGAAGGTAGAGGCCAGCTTTTAATGAGAACTTTAAAGCCAATTCAAATAAATCTACCTCATCAAAAGAGTCTGGGCCATTGCATCTCATTTCTTCCCCAAGTTTTCAAGAACAGTAACAATTTGCAGGTAGGGGTACTATGTCACAGGCAGGGGTGCGTAACAAACAGCAGGTAATGCAAAATGCTACAGATTTGATGTCAACTTCCTCCACAGAACCTTTCCCCGCACACACACACACATAGATTGACAAGAACTGGGAAGAATGGGACACGGAGTCAATGTAATGTTCAATACTTTCCTGTTGGGCCCTTTGTAGTGCTTTGAATCTGGTCTGCCCTTGGCTCAATATGTAAAAAATTAGGTCAGAAATTCCCCCAGCTCAGATGCTGGGGGAGAAGTGTCAGTCCTCCAGACCTTTCCAAGTTCCCTGTGGATTAGCCCAGATCAAGGTCAAGCCCAGGTCTAGAGCTCGCCTCTTTCTCCCTCCATGAGTTCTTTCTCAGGTGTCTAGCTGAATGCTCTCTCCTCTCTTCTGTATCTTGAATTTCTCCCTCCCGGGGTGTGACTAAGCACCTCAATCAGTCCACACAGATTAGCCTCCCCCAGTGAAGCACACAGACTTTAGTCAAATCTAGTCAACAGCTGTCAACTCTGAAAAGAAATGGCCAGAGTCACAGAGGTTGTGCAACCTCTCTCAACTCTGAAAATACCAAAGAGCTCACACAGGTTATCACAACGACAGTTAACTCTGAAAAATAAAATAAAATAAAACCAAAATAAAACCAAAGAACTACCAGTGGTGATAAGCAAAATGGTTTCATTGTTGTGTTGAAGGAAAGAAACTAGACACGTGTCAGGACCTCCTCCTCTGATACTGAGGAGACTCAATTTGGTGTGAGTAAATCTCAATACATTTACTAGTAGCTTCACAGTGAGCTGTAGCCCTGATAATGAGGGATAACAGCAACAACAGGACAAGTTTCATTGAAAGCTGGGTTTCCTGACTGGAACGTGGTTTCCAAAAATCAGCCTACAGAAGTTCCTTACAAAATCAAAATGAAAAATTGAAAATTGTTTTCAAATATCAGCTTACTATTTGCATGTGCAATTGCTCCAGAGAAAAGACCATTCTGTCACAGAAACCATAGCGCATATTCATAGTAATTTTAAATGCTAAATCCCATGCAAAATGATTCATTAAGTACTCATCAGTATCATTCTGTAACTGACACCTGCCCTATTACCATATTTGTCTTTTGCAAGGAACCTTGAGCCAGCAGCAATTCACCAGAAATGAATGTGTGAGAAAATTTCACAAGTAATGAAAAAAGCCAAAAATAAGGAGTGAGAACTCCACACGTCAGGGTCTAACAAGCCTATGACAGGACTATGTTAGAAGACAAGGGCTGTACATGCATTTATACCGGTCCCTTTATTTGTCTGCAGAAAGTGCTGCTGGCCTCATTTCTCTCTATGGACTCATCAATGCAGCTGAAAGGTGTCATCACACTTGTGTGAACCTTGAACACAATGGTATGACCAGAGCTGAACAGATGAAGGTCAATGGAGTAGAAGAGCTTAAAGAGTTTGAACTTGGGAGGTGTGCAAGTGGTTACAAGCTCATCTGCACTTGGATGCTGGAAGTTTTGACTTCAAATCTCACTTCAGCTCTCTCAGTTGAAGCAACTTGGTTCCCACAGTTTGACAAACTAAGCTTCAAATAACTCCTTTGTAAAATATATGGAAGAATGGCTCTTACCTTACTCACTAGCCATGATAATGCAATGTCAAAAGAAGTCCAAAACTCACAAGATACTGACAATCACATCATCTTCATCACCACCATAACTGTCATTCCTATGATTGGAGCTATACTTCCTTCTGCATGTACCCTTCAGAAAAGACCCTTCATGAGTACATTTGAAGAATTTCATCTGTCTATCCAGAAGCATCTTCTCTAGTTGCCAGTCATGATTCCCTTTCCAAAACCCACCCTTGAGAAGTAAATCTTCACCAAAAGAAATGGTTTGTGGCAATATGCTTTCTATCCTTATTGTTGCCATGTGTCCACAAGAAGGAGTCTGAATCTTTGGCAAAGAAACCATTTCAGGAATGAAAAATGCAGAACCTTTTTGAAAGTTCAGGGATCCACAGACAAAGAAATCGATTATAGATCCTGGAGGGATAATTTGAAATTATTGGACTAGAAAACAACTGACTTGAAAAATAGGTCCAGGAGAGATAGGTTTTAAATTATTGGACTACCTGAAAGCAATGATCAAAAAAAGAACCTAGACATTATCTTTCAAGAAATTATCAAGGAAAACTGCCCTGATATTCTGGAACCAGAGGGTAAAATAAAAATTGAAAGAATCTACATATCACCTCCTGAAAGAGATCCCAAAATGAAAAGTACCAGGAATATTATACCCAACTTCAAGAACTCCCGCGTCGACGAGAAAATATTGCAAGTAGCCATAGCCAGAATGAAACAGTTGAAGTATTGTGGAGTCACAGTATAACAGAAGATTTAGTACCTTGTACATTAAACTATCATATGGCTTGAAATATGATATTTTGGAAGACAAAGGAGCTAGGATCACAACCAAGAATCACTTACCCAGAAAAAATTGAGTATAATCCTTCAGGGGAAAAGTTGGACATTCCATGAAATAGAATTTTTAAGCATCTTGATGAAAAGACGAGAGCTGAATAAAAAATCTGACTTTCAAATACAGGGACTGGAGAGAAGCATAAAAAGGTAAACAGGAATGGGAAATCATAATAGACTTAATAAGGTTAAACTATTTACCTTCCTGAATTGGAAAATGATTGTGTATGGTTCATCCTTCATTCTCAAAGAGGACCATGACATCAGGGAGATGATAACATATCTTGCAATTGACTTTGGTTTGAGGGAGGGAGGGCTGTGCAAAGTCACCAGCCTCACTTTCTCCTCCAGAGCCATCTAGATACAGCAGCTAGATAGCAGTCATGAGGACTGGAGACAGCCCAGGATACAGTGGAAGAACTTGGCCCTTTTAAGCTGAGGGCTTTCCAGCTTTTCACTGTGAGTGAGGCAATGCCCATTCAGTGACTAGGACTCTTTAAGAAGTGAGTCAAGGGATGGCCCCTAATTAACTTGGAGGGGAAGAACAGGGTTGCTGGCTGAAAAAGAAACAGTTAATATTTACTTTCTCTCTGAGCCAGAAAGGCCCAGAAGTAACTATTTTCCTAAAACGCAAATCTAACCATCTCATCCCCCTACTCAATTAACTGTAATACTTCCATATCACTTCAGAGATTAAATACAAAATATTGTGTTGGGCATTCAATGCCCTTTATAACCTAGCCACCTCCTATCTTTCCAATATTATTACACTTTACTCCCTTCCACTTATTGTTTCATCCTTTGACAATGGACTCCTTGCTGTTCTATGACCAAGATACTCCATCTCTTGACTCCTGTCATTTTCTCTACCTAAAACAACATGCCTGGAATGCTTTTCCTCCTTACTCCTCACTACTGACACCCATCGGTTTTTTTCTTTTAAAGTTGCCGTCAACTATTCATCTTTGACTTGAAGCCTATCCCAAACCCTCACACTTGTAGTGACCCCCTCTCTAAATTGATTCTTATTTACTCTGTACACAGCTTTATTTCATTTGCTCTTTGATTCTCCAATGAGATTGTGAGCTAGTTGAGGCGTAGAATTTTTTTTGCCCTCTATTTCCACTCCCAGCACTAAGCACAGTGTCTGGCACATAGTAGGCACTTAATAAATGCTGTTGAGTGATCAATATGGTCCCAAATAATTATAAGACGCCCACCTCTTTACCCTTCCTTTTGTTGATGCTTTGTATAGACGTGTATATGTATATGTATTTTTTTAATTCCAGGGAGTGCCTCATGTTTGTCTTTATATTCTCAGCACCTAGAGCAGCCCCTAGAATCTAGTAGGTGCTTAAGAAAAAAATTTTAGAGTAATTAACTTTAAGTTTTATAATATGGTCTTTCGGTGACATCTGGTGTCCAATGCGAATATTGCACTAAGACTATTGAACCTTTTGGGGCACGCCTGCCGTCTTGTGGCCAGTTGAGATATTACAGTTTAGCCTGCTGTCAAACCCTAGTATTACATTTTCTCCTATTTTAAACCATGTTTTTGCTGGATTTTTGTACTTGTGAAGAATCACTTGCTGTTTAGCTAGGTAGAATGGATCTAAATGAAATCCTGCATTCATGAACTAAAGTATGTAATTAATTATTTCAGTTACAATAGAAATTCAGATTAAATATTCACCACTGAAATTACCCTTTATATTCTTAATCTTATCAGAAATGATATAATAAAGGTTAAGATATAATAGCAGTGGAGTGAAAATGGAGCAGGCTTCACTCTAAAGTGTCTGGCCCTGAGTAACATAACTTCTACATCCTCAAGAGCAAAACTGGGGTAAGATAAGAAAATGGTTGATCTGAATGTTGAAGAAATCTTATGAAATAAGCATCAAAGTGTGATTAAGACCATCATGGCTATTAGAATCAGCTTCCTAAGACTTCTAAAAACTTGTTAATTTTCAGCCGTTTTTCAAAGCTGTTGTTTTTGTTTGCCCTTCCTTCTCGAATAGGATCATAGCATCAGGAAGGTGATGCCATGACTTGCAATTTAATTGGATTTAAGTGAAGGAGGGCTGTGCAAACTCACCAGTCTCAATTTCTCTGCCAGAGCCATCTGGGTCCAGTGGCAAGACATAGGTCAGGAGGACTGGAGATGGACCTGGATGCAGGGGGACACTTTGGGCTTTTTAAAACTAAGACAGTGGTGTGTCAAAGCCTGCCCAAAGAGACTCCTACCAGCCTCAAAAACCTGCTTGCTAGATTTCAGGAATTTTCCATTTTAGATATGAAGTCAGCCAGTCAGATTTGTTAAATATTTGTTAAGTATTTACTCAGTGCTAGGTATAGTTAGGTGGTCTAGTAGATAGAGTGTTTGGCCTGGAGTCAGGAAGATTCACTTTCTGAAGTTCAAATGTACCCTCAGACCCTTGCTAGGTGTGTGACTCTGGGCAGTTAGTTAATTTTGCTTGCCGCAGTTTCCTCATCTGTGAAATGAGATAGAGAAGATAATGGCAAATGACTCCAGGATCTTTGCTAAAAGAACCCCAAATGGGATCAAGAACAATCAGACATGACATATGACATATCCCTGTGCTGGGAAGAATGTTTGGAATAGCTAGGAAGTTGTTAGAAGATATTCCTAAATTCCTCATTTGACACTATTTGAATCATTGATTGTAGTTATCATTTAGCAATTTCCTAACTAAAACAAAAAATAATAATCATTGAAAATATTTCTGAATAAAATCCATTTTATTTATCATAATTCTAATTTTAAAAAATCAAACCAAACTAGAAGTTGGAGCTAAAGAACTTGACACTGAAATAATTAAAATTTCTCTAGTACAGGGACAGAAATGAATGGTTCATCTTGTATTACATAGAAAATTTTGATCATTTGTTTCCCAAATTATGCTTTATACAGAGATTGTTACTGCTTTTTGTTGTTCAGATTTTTCGGTCACTTTAGATTCTTTATGACCACATTTAGGTTTTCTTGGCAAAGATACTGAAGTACTTTGCCATGTTCTTCTCCAGCTCCTTTTACAGATGAAGCAAACAGAGAGTGAAGTAACTTAGCCAGGTTCACAAGCTTGTAATTATCTGAGGCCAAATTTTAACTCAGATCTTCTTGATTCTAGGCCTGAGATTAACCAACATTTATTTCTTGGAAAGTTTTACTTCAATGATTCATATTCATGGAGAACTTTCATAAAATTCAGTTACATTGAAGTCACCACCATCTAACATTCAGAATGAACAAAAACTAACCAATATATCATACACACTTTGGAAAATTTAAGTATTGTTGCTGGAAAGCATGAATCTCAAGTAGATTCAAGTCAGATAAGTAAAAAGATATTTCATTTAATAAAACAATCAGTTTAATGCTCTTCCTAGGAATATGTTGCTAGAAAATATAATTCAACAGATGAACTTACATCTCTGCTCAGACAGAAGGAATGATGAAATCATTTTTTAGGTTTTTTTATATATTAGAATCTTCTAATTGGCTTCATGAAGAACTTACTTCATTAAGGATAGATGGTGGAAAACAGAATGATTTAAATGAATTGTAAACAGTGGAAATTCCTTTCTAGATTTTGTAGACAATAATGTAGAATTAAGCAATGTTCCCCTCACTGAAACTTTACAGTAGGATAAAAAAAAGTCACTCCTATGGCATTCTGTTAGCCAAAGCTGAAAGAGCTTTCATTTTAATGAATAGTTTTTGAATTAGGGAGAAAAAGGTTAAGAATAGATCACATATCTGATATAATGACACTAAATTTATTGGAAAAAGAGTCAGCCAATTGAGATACAACTTTGTAAAATCACATTTGAATTTCAATCGTAGGTTGGCTATAGAGAGAAGAGTTAAGTGAACTTTAAGAAAAAAACTTTCTGTGTGAATCAATTGACTAAATAGAATTCAACATAATGGGTAATTTCTGTATTTTTTCTAAATTTTGGGCTGGAATCTTACATTTCAAAAATTTTAATACAGTTATATCTTTCTATATGTGTATGCATATTATTTTTAAAAGAAAGACTGTTGTCAATTTTTTTCTAACAGAATACCATTGGACTGAGAATTTACCATTGTTAAAACTATGAAAACACACACACACACACACACACACACACAATCTTGCAGTTTTAATTTGCAATCTAAAATGTTACTTGAAAGCTACTGCTCTAATCATTGTCTTAAGTAATGGAGCTGGAATTCAAATATGAATCCTCCCCTTATAGTCAATCAGTATACATTTATTAACTACCTACTGTGTTGCCAACACCATGCTAATCCCTGTGGATACAAAGAAAAGCAAAAGACAGTCCAGTCCCTACCTTTCCAGAGTTCACAATTTAATGGGGAAGGTGATGTTGAAAACAAAACAAAACAAAACAAACCCAATAATGTATGTAAAGTATGAATCAGACATAACTATCAGTAGGAAAGCACAAGAATGAAGGAGGAATGGGAAATGCTTGTTGTATAAGGTTGTATTTTGTGTTCTACTTAATAGAATCCTGGGAATCTTGGAGGCAGAGATAAGAAGACAGAGAATCCGAGGCATGGAAGACAACCAAAGAAAATGGGCAGAAGTGAGACATGGAGTTTCTTGTTTGTGAATAGCAAGGAGGCCAATGTTACTGAATGAGGTATTGCTGGGAGTGGGGGATGAGGACAAAGGCTTTAAGAAGACTGGAAAGGGGAGGCAGATTATTGAGACCTTTGAACACCAAAGGATTTTATATGTGATCCTGGAAGTAACATTGAGAGTGTTTTTGGTGAGGGAGGGTAAAAGGAGGACTGACTAGTCCTGTACTTTTGGAAAATTGCCTTGTAGGCCAAGTGGAGAATGGACTTGATTACACAAAGACTTTTCTTTTTTTTAATATTTTTAATGTCTGTAACTTTCATTTCTCATTTTTGTTTTTGTTTTCATTTTTATTCATTTTACACTTAAATACAAAATAAGAAAAGAAAAAATAGAACATTTCCATGTACATAGCAGAACATAAGAACATATAAAACCATATATTTGCATTTCACAAAAACCTATGTAATAAAATTCATCCATTGTTTTCAACCGAACCCAGCTTTTCTATGTTTCCTTCTGTGTTTTCTTTTGTTCTCTGCTGTGTACTTTTTATCCTATTTTTTCCTTCTTCCTCATCCCCCACCTTAGTGAAGGCTACAATTATACACACACACACACACATATACATAATTGTCTCTAAATACACACACATATACATATACACATATATGAGTGTGTGTGTATATATATATGTATACGTATGTATGTATATATGTGTATGTATATATATGTATATGTGTGTGTGATATATATATATATATATATATATATATATATATATATATATATATATATATATATATATATATATATATATATATATATATATATATATATATATATATATTCTAGGCATATTTCTAGCTGTCAGTTCTTTCTCTTGAGGTGAATAGCATCTTTCTTCATAGGTGCAAGTCTTTCCTTAATTTTCCAAATCACCCAGCTCACTGTTTCTTAAATCACAGAGTATTCCATCACAATCATATACAACAAATTGCTTAGCCATTTCCCAATTGAAGAGCATCTATCATTTTAGCCTTTTTTTTTTTTAGGAAAATTGGGGTTAAGTGACTTGCCGAGGGTCACACAGCTAGTAAGTGTCAAGTGTTTGGTCTGAGGTCAGATTTGAACTCAGGTCCTCCTGACTTCAGGACAGTGCTCTATCCACTGCACCACCTAACTGCCCTGATTTTAGCCAATCTTATACATGTAAGATGATATCTCAAAGTCATTTTAGTTGGCATTTGTCTAATCAATAATGACTTAGAGCATTTTCTCATATAATTTTACATATTCTTAATTTCTTCATCAAAAAAACTACCTGTTCATACCATTTAACCATACATCAATTGGGTTATGATTTGTACTCTTATAAATTTGGCAAAGTTCTCCATATATTTGAGAAATGAGACTCCTGTCTAAGAGATTCTAAATGAAAGTTTTCCCCAAAATTCCTGCTTTCTTTCTAATCTGGGCTACCTTGATTTTATTTATAACAACTTTTTAATTTAAAATAATTAAAAAATATCCATTTCATACCTCAATGATGTTAACTATCTCTTCTTTCTTCACCTATTATTCTCCTACCCATGAGTGTGATAAGTAATATGATCCATATTCTTTTAATTTTCTTGTGATGTCCCCCTTTATATCTAGGCCATGTATCGATTTTGACCTTATCTTGGTATATAGTTTAATATATTGGTCTATGTCCAGTTTCTACGAGCTTTTGCATGAAATAACGAATTCTTATCCCCCAAACTTAAATGTCTGCGGTTGTCAAACATAAATTTACTATAGTCCTTTTCTTCTGCATATTTCAAGTTTACTCTCTTCCAATATTCCACTTCTCCATTTCTTAGCCAGTCCCTGATAATTCTGCTCTTTGTTTCTGTTTTATGGGATAAATTCATCCTATTCACATTCTAAACTATAATTTCTTTTTCTATATTTCTCTCTATACTATTTTTCCTCATTATCCTTCTGGCCCTATTTACCCTATCCCTCCTCACTCTAATTTCTTTCTACCCTCTACTTTGCCCTCCTATTTTTAATCTAACAACCTTTCTAAGAGTACCTCCTTTATCCTCCTCCCCCCTTCACCTCAATCTACCTATCTTTCAAAGAGTTTCATCCTTACCACCTCCATTCATTCTTCATCTACATACCCTTCTAATAGTCTCTCCCTTATCCTATCCCTTTACCCTCTCCTTTCCTTCTACATTTGGAAGACTTTTATACACTTCTAAATGCATGTGTTTTCTTTTTAACCCATTTCTGAGGAGAGTAAAGTTCCAGTACTACTAACAGTGCCCCTCCACCACTTACCTTCTTCTGTAAAACTAGTTCCTTTCATTCCTTATTTTTATGAGATAATTACTTTTTATTTCTCCCTACACATTTTTTTAGAATTAATCCATCATATACAGCTCATTCCAAGTTTTTCTTTCAAACTATCGAAATAATTGTGACAGTCATGAGAGTACTAGTAAAACTTTTATATACAGGAAATAAACAGTTTTACCTAATTGAGTCCCTTATGCTAGTCTATTAAAGGCTAAACATTAAGTTTACCTTACATATCTCTCAGATCTCATATATGAAATTTTCCCCAAATTTTCTTATATGTCAGTAGCTCTGCTGTTTTTGTCATAAATACATGAAAGTCTTTCACTGTATTAATTATTATTTTTTTTCATTTTGTATTATACTTAACTTTGATGGGTGTTACCCTTGGTTGTAATACCAGCTCTTTTGCTCTACAAAATGGAGTGTTCCAAGACCTGTGGTCTTTCAACTCAGCAGGTGCTAGGTTTTGTGTAATTCTGATTGTAGCTCCATAATATTTAGATTTTTTTTTTTCTTTTTCTTTTCTTTTTTTTTTTGCAATATTTTCTTCTTAACTTGGGAGCTTTGAAACTTGCCTATGATATTGCTGTAAGTTTTCTCCTGGAATCTCTTTCAGGTGGTGACTGGTGGATTTTTTTTCTAATTTCTGCTTTACTTTCTTGTTCTAGAATTACATATTAAAGAACCTATAGCTAGAAGGACCAGCCCAGGCCACCAAAGCCAAAGATTCAAATAGAAAGTGGAAGAGTCTGAAGCCACAAACAGTGTCTGAAAGCAGGATTTAACCTCAGGTGTTTGTGTCTCTGGCGTTTAGCAATGGTGTTCTTGTCTTCTGAACTTCGAAGTCTCAAACCTATGGGATTAGTCTGCTTGATTTGTCTTCTCCTCTGACTTTCGCATGTAATCCCCACCCCATCATTACATGACATTTAAAAAGTTCCAGATACATAATTTTTGGGTAACTCAATCATTTTATTAATGACCCATGTTTTATAAAGTCTGTACTTTCATTCTTTTCTGATGTCACTTGGCACACTGATGTGTATGCCTGTTATCAGATGTGTTGAGCTAGGTCAGGAGGAGATATTAAATTTTTGCCAGACACTAGCAGACAAAAATTATTCGGAGAAAGGCAGGGCAATAGCACTACCATGTCACCCTAGGCCCTCTCTGCTACCTGTGTAAGTATTATAGGGTGTGAGTTGTTTCACTAATACAATACCTGCAGGGCCTTTCCACCGTGTTTGAGGCTACACTGGTCATTTTTAGAGGCACTGGTATATCATAACCTAAACTTTCATGCAAATCCTTTTAAATCTTTCATTTCATTAAAAGGCAAAACAGGGTTCAAGGAATTGACTGATTTGACATAGAATTTTATGTAAACAGGAAGCCAAAAAATTCTTTTCAGGCCAACAAGTGTCTCTTGAATGTTTGCTAGATGAAACTTTACATTTTGGGAAATTCTGTTTCTTTTAAAATTAAGAGACCACTCTTCCCTTTCACTTCAGTCTTAGAACATCTAGAGAGATGAGAGTATAGGAGGCATCAGGATTGAGTGGCTGCATTGCTGAGTTCAAACCAGCCTAAGTCCCTAGCTACCTGTGTAATCTCACGCAAATCTCATCAACTGTCCCGGCTTCAGTATTTTCCTCTATAAATTGAGGGGGTTTGATTACATTACCTGAGACTTCCCTTCCAGCTGTTGGGATCTGAGAGGTTGAGACCAGTCAAAGACTGGAGTACATGACATGGTCATCTGGAATGAATTTATGGACTCAAGCATTCTTTGAATCAAGTTGTTAAAGATTTAGTGTTACGCTATACAGTGATTGTTATGCCATATAGCTGGCAAGGATTCTTAAGAAACCTTGACCTTAGAAGGTACAGTTAAAGTTTATATCAGACAAAATACAATAAAACATGTGCCAAACATGCTAACTAGGTGATTCAGGGCAGGATCAGGGAGTGGTGAAGGTGTGATCAGTTCTTAAAGGAACATGAGCTTTTTGCATCTACTGTGCAGGAGTTTTACCCAGAGTTCACTAGGTCTCTAGCTCACAAAGGAGGCCACACGGAGGTGTGGTTTTAGGTCTGCTATGTCACTAAGTTAACTAGCAGTCAGGGGTAACTGAGAGTTGTCCAGTCTGCCACCAGTCAATGTCCTGTTTCACAAGATAGATGGAGGGAATATACATATGTCTTAGGTTTAGAATACAAATAATGAGGAGTCCAGGATGTAGATGATGAGATAGGGAGGTAGTATACATAATCCAGTGGGTAAGAATATCTTTATGACCCAGTGTAAAGCCAGTTCAAACTAATAATTCCTTCAGGTGCTGTCTGTAACTGCACCAGGGACTGTAACTTGCTGGGGCCCACTCATGAGTAATTGCTAGGCACAGTGTCTTTGGCCTGGGGAAAAACTGCCAGGGATAGTATTTCTGAGGCTAGAGAGAAACATGGTCATGGAATTGGGGTCCCAGTACAAGCACCCAAGCACCCCATCACAGCTAAGATCTTTAATTTGAAATGGACATGTCACTTCCATTCCCTGGGCCTCAGTTTCCTCCTCTGTGAACTGAGGGCCTTAAAGAAGATGACTCTGAGGCTGCTGCCAGGATCTTTAGAATAAATATCAATTCACTTCACCACCCTGGGCTCCAGTTTCCTTTTCTGGATAATTGAGAGAAATGATTATTAATAGCCAATCATTTGTGGAGACCCAGAGTCCCCCCTCCTCTTTTTTCTAAGGTCCTAATTTCAAAAGTTCAGTCTCTTGAAAAGTATTACTGACAAGATTGTACTAACTTTCTTAACAATCTTGTTCAGACCCCACTGAGGTGGGGAAGCCATTGTGCTCTACTCAAGTTTGGATGGGGATAAATTCTTTGAAGAGATTTCCCAAGGTTGG